TAAACGAACTATTTCAGATGTTCTTCGAACTGGTGTTAAATCATTTGAGCCATCATGTTCAAGAAGAACAGATGCTCGTTCTTCTGAGAGACCCTTTCAAACAAAAACAAAAATCATCTCTCAACAAAAAGAAAAAAAAGACTGTTGAATACCATAGCAGGACTTGTTCCATATCTTCGATAAACTTCATTTATTGAAATTTTATGTTCATCCTTAAAGATAAATATAAATTAATATTCAACATGAAAATAATATTAAACCAGCCAAATCAATTTCATGTTTAAGAGCTTCTAAATTTTTGCTTGTTAGTTTTTTACGAAACTAAAAATACAGTGGACGTCAAAAGTCTCGCACCACTTTTTTGTTTTGAGTCGTGTATTTAAACTACACAACATTAATTCAATTCAATTATATGTTTGGATAGCAGAGATCGAGTACTATACAGATACATCTGTTCAATTCAAAAACCCTTGAATATGAAACAGAGATGTGCGGGGCATTGATTTTTCATGCCCCGCGGGGCCCGCTCCGTAGAATTCACAAATTCGCCCCGCCCGAGCCCCGTGGATATTCTTAATGAGAATCCCCGCCCCGCCTGTGCCCCGGCAAACCTATTCCCGGTCCGCCCGTACCCCGCACACCCAGCTTCTTGGACAGACCCGCCCGACCCGCCATTTTTGTGACGGGCCCCGACCCGTCCCGTGTAACCCGAAGAAATTTTTCATTTACCAAATACTTTATTTTTAATGATACATTCATTTTATAAATAATCACTTTTTACAAAAAAAAAAAACTTAAGTAGAGTCTATATGTGGGTCTTCAAATAAGCTGCAGCCGATCGAATAAGTATAATATCATTGACTGTAGATGGATTGATATTGGTCCTTCTCTGTGATATGATAATACCAGCTGAACTAAATGCACGTTCAACTGCAGCTGAAGAGGCAGGAATGGAAAAAATTTGTTTTGCTAATCTTGACATATTGGGTAGTACATGTTCTTGTTCTTTCCAGAACAATAGTGGATTATCAATATCATCAAGTAAATATTTACAATTAGTTAAATTCAGTTGCAAATAGATTTCCAATTCACGACGAGCACGTTTTACAATTGTCATATTACTACTTGTTTCACCTAAATCTGTGTCATCATGAAATTGTGTTGTGTAGGACTTGAACTTTTTGCGAGGTGGTGGTGTTAAACTAGTAGTTGTTGAAGAAAGTACTTCTTCATTATTATCAATCCGTGCTATTTCCATAAGTTTAGCTATTCTAGCTCGCACAAGACAGTATGCATGTGCACGTTCAACATCAGTAGCATGTTTGAGCATTCTTGTATGTGGATTGAGTACTGCAGCGACCCAATGTAGATCGTGCAAAGAGAACATTGCTTTTAATAATTGTCGTGCACGTCTTTTAAAAAAGACAACACCTGTAAAAAAAGATAGGTCTTTAATGACTTGTTTTTTTAAGAATGATTTACCTTTGGCTGCTTTTTCAGCTGCTTCATCTTTCGTCACTACGAGACTGTCGAGAAGATACCAGTAAGACGTAACTGCAATATGGAGAGATGGTGTATTAGTTGCTTGTAAACGTTCGATCACCTGTTTCCATGGTAAGAATAAACCAT